GGGCACCTCGGGGTGGGCGACGGCGCTGCCGCGGGCCCGGGACGATTCCGTACGGCGACATGGGCGCTCCGGAGGCCGTCCGTACGACAAGATGGCCGCGTGGACGGAGCGCCGGGGCCGGGTCGGCAGGCTCCCCGGGTTGTGCGACGCGGCGCCTGGCGCGCCGGACGGCCTGGCCGGTGCTCGTCGGGGTCCTGCGAGCGAAGGGGACACGTATGCAGCCCGTCGGACAGCTGCAAGGCGGCTCAGGGTACTCCGCGGCCGGGGGAAGCCCTCGGGGCGCCCCACGCCGCCCGGCCGGGCACCGCGCGCCTCCTCGTGCGGCCGGCGCCGTACGTCAACATGGTGGCGCCCGCGGCAGCTTCCGGCTCGGGCCGGAAACGCGCGTCGTCGCCCGCGACTCTGCGTCTGGATTGGCCCACGCCGCACCCCGTCGCCGCGTCGCGCTGCGGGCCTGTCGGAGCGACGCCGCGGCGGCCCAGTCGGCGGCCGGAGAGGGGAAAATGGACGCAGGTGAGGACCAGCCTGGCGCCGTGGCCTGGGGGCGGTGGCCACTTCCCTCGGTCCCGGCCTCGGTTCGGTGGCTGACGACTTGGGGCTGCCCTGCCGGAGCCGCTGGGTTGTGAGCGTTCCCTGTGGGGACCCTCCAGGCGCGGCCTCGGCCCCGGCCCTCGGGAGCGCCTGATGAGGCCGCTGTCCACGGCTTGGGCGCGCGGGGCTCAGCGGCCGTGGTCCAGCGGCCGTCAGGCTGCGGGGTGCACCCATTCCCCGCTGTGGGAGTTGTTGCGTTTAGAATCGGGGTGCTCGCCGGGTTCCAGGCTGGAGGGGACGGGGGTGCCGGCGGAGCGGCGGCGGGAGGCGCCGGGAGACCCGCAAGCTGCCGGGGGTTGGAGCCCGCGCGCCTGGAGCGCTTGCGTCCTCCTCGAACCCAGAGGGCAGCCGTGGATGGAGTGTCCACGTTTCAGCAAGCTGCTCTGGTCAGCTGAAGGCCGGGAGCGCACGGCCCTGAGGGCTGTGTGTACTTGTCGCCTCTGCCAACGCGCTGGCCTCCATCATCATCTTTCTTTCCTGCGACTCAGAATCAGAGGATGCGTCCCTCCCGGGGGCGGGGAGGCCGGTGGCTGCCGCTGCCTTCTTTCCTGATCGGGTCCCCCCTTTGGCCCAGGCGCCCCGCGAGTGCTTCCTTGTGTTCACCCCGGAGCATTTATTCTGCCTTTTGTGCCTTCTAGTCCTGGAGCTGTCATCTTTTGAGGGCTGGTAAAGAAGAACTGTTACGTATCTCGCTTGTCATCCTTTAAGATGGTGCAAGGGTTAATCACTGTGTGGCTAACTAAAAAGTTAGTGGTTCGAAGCTGCTCGTTGGCAGAAAGAGGAGGTAGTCTGCCTCCGTAACGCCAGCTCAGCTCGCCGCCGCCGGGGCAACCCAAAGGCCGTGAAGGGCTCCAAAAGGAGAAGCCGTTCTCCCGTTGTGTGAAGATCGGGTCTAGCCGCTGGGGACCGTGGGCCTCTTCTGTCCAGTCCTCAGAAGTCTTCAGGAGTCAGAATTGAGATTTCTAAAATTTGTTGTGCTCATCTGCTGGGGTAGCACTTTTGCTTTGCATTTTTTCTCACAGCTACGCCATAAATGAACCAGAATCTGATCTGGAAAAGACTATGCGTTTAAAGGTTGTTGACAGCGCCTCACTTCCATGTGTTGCATGAATGGAAAGAGCCTCAGAGGTTCAAATCAGATATGTTAGGAGCTTTTGTGCCTGGAGGATGGGAGATGGGGTGGCATGGGTTTAGTTACAGCTGTTTACAGTCCTTACCTAGAATCATGGAGAGGCTTAGCTAGGATAGAGGTACAATTTAATGCCAATAATATTAACTTAATGTAAAAAAATCATTATGCAGGATGTAAGCACCTGCAGATCTCTGTCGGAGCTGGAAGGGACACTGATGGTGCCATGATTAAAGCCTTCAGCCACTGATTAAAAGCTTGGTGGTTCAGATCCACCAGCTACTCCTCAGGAGAAAAAGGATGTGGTTGGCTTCTTAAAGATTACAGCTTTGGACACTCGTGGGCATCTCTCTCAGTCCTCAGAGTCAGTGTGAGTCAGGTGACTCCTTAGAAGTGTGTTTGGTTGTGGTTGGTGTGGTTCTAGGGTGTACTGTATATCCTTCTACTGTCCACCCTTTCAGGGATGACTTCTGGCCAGGCCTTCCTCAAGGAGGCTCTGTCTGGAGATCTTACTGCTTCCATATTCCTTAACGTAATGAATACAAGTTGTGGTTATGTTTACAAAAATAGATTCCATAAACCACATCTGAGTGCCAGCCATGACCTGAGCACCATCCGTGAGGTGGAGAGGCAACAGGATGCCCAGAATGCCCTGCTCTGGTGCCAGTGGCATTCTAGATGTGAAACCTGTGGCAGGCAGTAAGGCCGAGAGGGTGTCCTGAGAGGTGAATGGTGGACAGGGAGCAGGAATGTTACAAGAGAAAGGGCATATGGCCTGACTTGAAGTGAGGTGCAGTGGTTGGGGGTAAATGAGCAAGAGCTGATGGCAGCAAGGCCTAGGCACAGCAAGGACCAGGATGCTGATGCATTCTGAGCGATGACCCTCTGCAAGGCTGGAGAGGAGGTGTAACCTGATCAGACACAGCTCTGTGGGGAGTCCACTGCTGAGGGGACAAAGAGAACACAGGAGTCCTGGGCAGCAGTCCTGGTCAGCAAGTATGTGGGGTCACCATGGGAAGAGAGTAGGATTGTCTTATGAACTAAGTGAGGGACCCAGGTTGGCGGCGAATAAGGGGAGGAGAAGGTGGTTAGGAAGTTCATGGTAGGATTGCTTGCATATAGAAATAAAGGGAATGAGAAGTTAAAGCTGGCACCTAGGTTTGCCTAAGCCAGACTGTCCTGAGCGAAGGCAGGAGAGGCTCTGGTGTGAGGGGAGCTGTCAGCAGGGTATTAACACGTATGTTGAGGGTGTGATGCACATGGGACAGCTGTGTGGCCACCTTGGGAGGCCTGGGGTTCAGTTGACTGCCAAGTGGAAGTAGATGTATGCAGAGATAGATGTATGGAGTCACAAAGGTAGGAATGACAGAAGAACCAGAAGGGACCGTAGACCTAGGCTGAGGTGTGGAGAGGACTGAGAGTCAGGTGAACGTGGGGTGGTGCCTCCACAGTCTGGCTAGCCTGGCACTGCCATCAAAGATGCTCACCAGCTCCTGTGTGTTTGTGCTGGCCATTCCAGGTGGTCACTGGGGCCCCTGGCTCCCAGCCCCACCAGTGCTGATGGCTCCCAGCACCTCCAGTGATAGTGATTAGCAGGTTTCCCAAGCAGGGCTGTCAACCTGAGGTGCTCTGGCCAGTGAGGTGCGGTATAGTGTTGGCCCAGGGAAGGGAGCTATGGCCAGTGAGGTATGGTGCTGGGTCAGCCCAAGGTGCTCTGTCTGGGGGGACTGTGGTGCAGGGTGGGCCCAGGGAGCTGTAGCTGGCAAGAAGTGGGGTGCGAAGGGTAGGGTGTGGCCTGTGGGGTGCTGTGCAGGGTCAGAGGTGGGTGGGGAGCTGCTGCTGGCGGGTTGTGTGTGTATGGCTGACTAGGTGTGGGTGGGGTGGAGAGCTGCCGCTGGCTGGGGTGGTGCAGCAGGCGGGGGTGTGGGAGGATGGGGTAGGTGTGGCTGAGGAGAGTGGGGTGAGGGGAGCTGTGGGCCCAACAAAGTGCGGGGGTGAACAGGTCGCTTCACTGTCATCCTGTATTGTGTTCAGAACTGAAACCACGTTGTGATGGAGCATCTGGGGGTACAGAAGCCTTTGCTAACCGTAAACTAGGCATCTTGCTTGTGCAGCTCTGGAGGAGGTAGGACTTCAGTTGCACTTGCCTCTGTAGTGTCCCCTGGAGAACTCTTGATAACCATCCATGAAGAGATCTGGGTCAGCGTATCCTGCCTGAGCTCTTGGGGTGTCTTGGCTAGTGGTGTAGCAAGACCGTAATGGGAGACACACGTCTGTCTGCTGAGCGACACAAACCATTGTGTAGCCATGTGCCTGGAAGGCCTTCCACCCTCTGGTCGAGCTGATGATTCTGCATAAGAGGATGCACAGGAAGGGGCCACCAGATTGTGGGTACAGCTTGGAGGGGTCATCGGGGCTTCTGGGTGGAACTGAGAGTTTGGGCTGGTTTTCCACTGTCTAGTGTCCTGCAATGAGAAGGTGTGGGGTTGTGAACAGGAGTGACAAGCCTGAGTGGGCAGCAGAGCAGTGGCCCTGTGTGGGTTGGATGCACAGTTTAAGTGGCTGTGAGCAGCCCCGTCCCTGCTGGCGCCTCGTCCCTGCTGGCGCCTCGTCCGTTTTGTTGTTCTGGTGTATTGGTCCTTCTGCTGCTCTGCAGGAGGAGAGTACCCACGTGCAGGCTCAGGCATCCTGGTGCTGGAACAGAAATGGCCTTTAGAGGGGAAGGGCTTCCTGTCACTGTGCAGATACTGGAGTTTGAGGGGTGTGAGCGGGAGGTCTGCACCGCATCCCTTAGGTTGACTGGATGGACCTTGCCTGTCCTAGTACCCCACTCCATGTTGCACAGCAGCCCTGGTCTCCCTGTAATGAACTCACTGTCCCTGTTACTCAGCTGAGAAGTGTGTCCAGTGGAGGTTGTATGGATGGTGGTGGCTCGAAGGGAGCGTTAACTGGACAGTGTTTCTCCTCAGTGACCTGCTGGCAAGCAGTTAAGTACTTGGCTGCTAACTAAAGGGTGGGCAGTTTAGGCCCACCAGCTGTTCTGTGGGAACATTAGGGACAGTTGGCATTTGTCCTGCCGAGTCCACATGAGCAGGAATTGATTTGGCAGCAGTGGACGGTAGCATCCTTGGCACAGTTAGGAGGGTTGGAATCTAGCAGTAGGGGTGGTAGTGGACTGTGGGATGTGTGGCTGGCCTGTGTCGAATGACCACAGCTCTGCTGCTGGCTCTTTGCACACTCATTTCATCCAGAGAAAAGGATATTGTGCATAGGGCTCATCCAGGTGCACCCTGGTCACAGCATGGTTCACCACCTTGGTCACCTGTTGGAACCTGCCTTTAAGGTCTTGTGGCCTTTGATGTCAGTGCCCTGGCCCATGAAGCCTGCTGATGACAGACGCTGCTTCCCTCCCTCAGCCACTGCTTGTTAACTTGCTTGCACAGTGAGCCTTCCTCACTACCTGCCTAGCTCCTTGATGGACATCACTGTCGACCACGTGGCACACTTAGTACCCAGGGTAGAATCTTGGGCCTCTGAATTCGGGTGCTGTACACATGGCTGAGTATGCTCCCAGGAACAGAAGAGACACTACTCAGTGCCAGGCTTAGAGCTGGCGTTGGAAATGGCCACTAGCTCCAGGAGGCCAGACCACTGCCCTGTGAGTGGAACCCAGATTTGTGTGCTTCTGCTGAAAAAATGCTTTCCAGTCCTATAGCTTGCTCCTCTGCTGCGCCCCATACCTTGCTCCCTGCACCCTGCGCCCACCCGCTACCCTCCCCTGTGTCCTTGCACCAAGCCCACATGCTGACCTGTGTGGTTGTGCCAAATCCTCGGGACACATCTCACTGCTGCTGCTGCCACTGCCGCCACTCTGCAGCCTCCCAGTCTTGCTGTGCTGTGGAAGAGGAGACTGGCTCACCTGGGTCAGGTAGCTGGCCTGAGACTTGACAGCCTGTAAGCCTGATGACCAGAACAGTCCCAGTCCTGCCCCCTGTGTCCCTCTCTGTTCCTTTCTGTTTTGCTCCATCCCACTCTGTCCCTTTTTGTCCCTCTCAACCCCTTTCTGTCCTACTCTTCCCCCTCCATCCCCCTTGCCCTGCCTCCCTCTAGCTCTGTCTCCCTCTGGCCTGCTCCATCTCTCTGTATATCTGTTCTGTCCCTTTGTATCCCTTCTGTCCTCTCAGTCTCACTCTGTCCCCTCACTGCCTCAGCCTGCTCTCCTGCCCTATCATGTGCCCTTCTCCTCTGGCACTGCTGGAAGCAGAGTACCCTTCAGTGGTGGTAAAACAGGGTGCTACTGGGGACTGCAGGAGGTGCTGGAGTGATGGGATGTGACCTCACCAGGAACTGTGTGGCCAGCACCCCTGCCTCCACCACTGTGCTCTGCCACCACCACTGCTCAGAGCTGCGGCAGGTGGAGTGTACGGGGAGCATGCAAGGCTTTCAGTATGTGGGGGGCTGCTGTCCCGGCTGACTCTTAGTGTACTAGTGGACAGAACTGCACTCGGTCACTACACTCAGTTCACCTTTAGAACCATTGAGTGCTCAAGGGTTTGAATGCCCTTCTTTCCTCTGAGGTTGGTTCACATGATTTCTCTTGTGTCAGTGACTAGACACTGAACTGGGTCTGTGCTGGGCTCTGTCCTTGATGGCTGGGGTTCATCTCTTTGTAGGTGGGCTCTGTATATGGGTAGATTCTGTCCGTGGTAGACTTAATCTGTGATGGTGGGCTCCATCTCTGGTGGGCGTGGTGGCTGGGCTCCATCTATCATGGATGTGGGAGTGGGCTCTGCTTGTGGTCGGTGCTGGGAACTAGAGACTTCTTCAATGGGGGGCTTTATGAGTGGCTTTACTGTCTTAGGATGGGACTCAAATTTGAAGGGTGCATCTTTGGTTCCCACAGCCACTCTGACTTATGACACGCTCAGATTTGCTGAGTTTGAAGATTTTCCTGAAACCTCAGAGCCAGTTTGGATACTGGGTAGAAAATACAGCGTTTTCACAGGTATCAGAACTCTTAGGGCCTCTGCCAACTGCTCAGACCAAGCAAGATGTTGGTCACTCTGTCAATCACATGTCACTCTTCTGTAATATGGGCCGTCAGACTTGTGGGGAGGTGGGCGGGGGGTCAGTGGTGGAATTCCCCAGACCTGAATCTCAGTCATGCTCTGTGACAGCTGGTGATAGACATCCTTGATGAGGGGTAAACTCAAGCATCTGTGTATGCTGTCTTTAAATCTCCAGAAAAGGACGAAATCTTGTCTGATGTGGCCTCAAGACTCTGGTTTACATACAGGAAGAATTTCCCCGCCATTGGTAAGGACTCCATGTGTCACCACATGCGAGGTGCAGCTGTTTGGGGGGCATGCACCTTCTCTGGCCCCCACAGGTGCCTACTAAGTCTGGGAAGAGCAGGACGAGGACCCCTGACCAGGCTGTGTGGTAGCCTGTCACTGGCCCTTGTGTTGTGTGGATTTTAGCCCATGGGGCTAGTGTTCAGTCCACAGATGTTTTGGGTGCAGTGGTGGGTTCTGGCATGGGCATCTACCAGCCGTTAGGCCTTTTATGTACTGATACGTCTTGAGGCTTCGGCAAGCACGTGATTGAGCATGTCTTGTCCCCACAGGGGGAACGGGCCCCACGTCAGACACAGGCTGGGGCTGCATGCTGCGATGTGGACAGATGATCTTTGCTCAGGCCCTGCTATGCCGGCACCTGGGCCGAGGTGAGCCTGGCGGGATGGGTACAGGCAGGTCCTCCTCAGCAGGCAGGTGGGTGTGGGTGGGCTTCTGAGTGGGGTTAGCTCATTTCCAGTGACAGATAAACTGTCGTGATTGCTAAGGCTGTTGAGCCCACGGCCTGCTGGCTGGCCACTTGCTGTGAGAATGTCCTTGTATGTCTGACCCTGCCTGACCTGGGCCAGTGAGCACTCCTGCTTGGGTGCAGGCTTAGACTTTCTCTATCCTGTAGACTGGAGATGGGCACAGCGTAAGAGGCAGCCAGACAGCTACTTCAGCGTCCTCCATGCCTTCATGGACAGGAAGGACAGCTACTACTCTATCCACCAGATTGGTTGGTAACAGGGATGTACCTGGTGTGATGGGGTCGAGGGCAGAGGCCATCCCAGACTGCAGTCCATTCACCCAGACCTCCCTTGCTGTGCGCATCCATTCTCTGTTGCTACTGTCCACTCTCTCCCTAAATCACTGCCCACTCATGGAGGGTAGTGGAGTGTGACAGTTCACAGATGGCAGATGCGTGGCTCCCACTCCAGGATGTAGGGTGCTTCATCCCCTCCATCCTACACTAAGAGCTGGGAGTTGGTGGACAGCCTTGTGGGACATGGGGATCACTGAGAGGACTGGGTGGGACCTGGAGGGCTAGTGGGGCATTGGTGACTAGTGGGCAGCCCTGAGGAGTCAGCAGACGATGGTCATCTACCTGTTTCCACAGCACAAATGGGAGTTGGCGAGGGCAAGTCTATCGGTCAGTGGTATGGCCCCAACACCGTTGCCCAGGTCCTCAAGTAGGTGACTCTGCCCCTGCAAGGTATCCACTGGAAGTGCGGCTAGTGCGGGAGGGTGGTGTGTACCTCTGCCCAAGACTGCGAGCTCCTACCACTGTGTGCTGGCAGTCAGGATTAGGGAGCAGGTTCCGAGACCAGGGCCTGAGGCCAGATGCATCCATGGGTGGGGGACCCTCCTCTCCTTCTCACGGCTCCAGTGATATCCAGGTTACTGCATGGCCTTCCTCTCCAAGCCCTGCCCCCTCACCCCCACCAGACACTTCTCCCAAGGATCTCAGCTCATCAGGACTCTGGACTAGCTCACCCGCTGTGGTCACTCTCTGGCCTTATCCAGTGAGGACGTTCCCTGACTGTCCCCAGCCTCATGGCCCCACGAATTCCCAGACTTCAGTCATTTGTGACCCTTTGTCCAGGAGGCCAGTTCCTGGTGCCCCCTCTATGCTCACTTGACCTGCCCTTCCTGGATGTTTGTCGCATCGTCTGGCCACCAGCCCCACACCTGCCCACTCCCATCTCAGCACATCCTAGGGGTCTGACTGCCCAGCTTAGGTGACCTGGGTTAGCCCCCTGCCATCCCTCTGGGGCACTATCACGTCCACATCATATGCCCTCTCCAGCCTACACAAGCTGTCCACCACAGGCGGCCTAGCCAGGCTGTCACATCCCAGTACCTGCTGGCTATGGGAGGCTCATCAGTGTGTCTCACTTCATGTAGGAAACTGGCTGTGTTTGATACCTGGAGCTCCCTCGCCGTCCACATAGCGATGGACAACACGGTGGTTATGGAGGAGATCCGTAAGTAGCAGATAGATCCTGCAGAGATAGTGGGTTGTGCCACTTGAGCCCAGAGACACCAGGTGGACGTGGGGCCTACTTTACACTGCCAGGCTGATGTAGGGACCTGGTGTCCATGGTTCTCTGCCTATCAGGGCTCTGCATCTTACGGGGAACAGAATTGCTGGCTTGTATGCTGGGTAGCCCTGGTTCACCAGGTGCACTATCCATGGGTATGGTGTCCCCTGGGTTGCCCTGTGGATGCTGTGGCTGTCGAGTCAGCCTACCTTCTGGTGACCTATGACCTCAGTGGTGCTGAGAAATGCAAAGATGGACAGCTCTAAGTGAAAATGTGACAAAGAGGAGTGCGGGTCTGCTGGGTCCATCAGAAATCGGAAGGAGCACAAGGATGCTAGAATGTTCCTAGGGACACTCTCCTTTCTAGGGACAGCAGATGGTCTGGATGGGTCAGCCATGCATCTGCTGGCCTGTGCTGACAGGCTCCCACTCCACTGGAGAGGCGTGGATGTTCAGAGGGGCTGAGCAGTGGTTAGAGCGTGCACTGGACACTGTCCACATCATGTCCCTTATCACTTCCTACGCTGTCATTGTGGACTTCATTGGTACCGCTGTGCTGCTCCTGGGTGAATCACCACTACAGCCATGTGGTTGCCACTGGTCCACCAGGTGGGAGCCCCAGGGAGGCCAGGAAGGAGAAGTGGGCTTCGAAATTGAAGAGTTGCTCTTGGTGGAAACTCGAGAGTGGTACGGCCACTGTGTTGGGCTCAGCACTGGCACATATGGGCACCTGCTGGACCCTGCTAACCCTTGATGATTGTTCCACTAGAGGACTGTTCACAATTCCTGCTAGAAGACACATGTTGTGCTCAGATGGGGCTGGACACCTGTGGGGCTGGGCAGCTGGGCCACAGCTCTCATCTGCCTTTCCCCACTGCTGCCCATGTGCCACAAATAAGCATTATGATCTTCTGCAGTCCTTCCCATCAGGAGGGCTAGGCAGACCTGTCCAGGCTTACAGGCCTCTGCCCTTGCATGTCACAAGACAGCTGTGGGTTCCTCCTGACAGGACACCTCTCCCCACAGGTCGGCTGTGCAGGAGCCCCCCCTATACAGGGGCTGCAGCCTGCCCCACCGAGGCTGGTCCACACTGCAATGGGCTGCCTATGTCAGCCACGGCCAGTGGCCAGCCATTGCCATGGAGACCTCTGGTGCTGCTCATCCCACTGCGTCTAGGGCTCACCGACATCAATGAGGCCTATGTGGAGACACTCAAGGTTCTGCCCTCTCAGTGTTGTACCCTTGTCCCTCCATGGTCTCTGTAGAGCTCAAGTGGCCTGGACCCATGTTTGTCAGGTCCTCCTCAGCTCTTGAGGGCCTTGATGGTCTGCCTCCACCTTGTCCCTATCCTCTTCTCCCAAAGCTACCCCTGGTCATGTCCAGGCTCCTGATCCTCCTGAGTTCTGGGTCACCCTCCTCCCTATCAAGGTGGGGTGGGCAGGACCACTGGGGAGCAGAATGCTCAGGTCCCCATATCCCCACAGCATTGCTTCCAGATGCCCCAGTCCCTGGGTGTGATTGGAGGGAAGCCAAATAGTGCCCACTATTTCATCGGCTACGTTGGTAAGCGCACTGCTTGGGACCCCTGTCCAGGCCAAGTGGCCTCCGGGGGGGTTCTTAGCAGCCCTTTATCTACATGGTCTGCTGTGCTCGGAATGGGAAAAGAAAGGAGTCTGCTCCCCCCGAGGGCACCCCTGCTGACCACATGGCCTCATCCCTGCCCGCTGGTGTTCCGACGTGTGCAGGTGATGAGCTAATTTACCTGGACCCACACACCACACAACCCGCGGTGGAGCTGACAAGCACCTGCTGCATCCCCGACGAGAGCTTCCATTGTCAGCACCCGCCCTGCCGCATGAACATCGCTGAGCTGGACCCGTCCATTGCTGTGGTAGGCCGTCCATTGCCGTGGTAGGCCTGTGCTAGGGAGTTGTGAGTGAGTCTTGGATTGTCCCAGCAACCTCCCTCCACAGGATGTGAGCCCAGGCTCCTTTGAGTCCTGAAATCCCAGCTGGAATGCTAGCTGCCGCCTCCACAAGGTCTGGCAGCGGGTAGAGAGTGAGTGTCCAGCTGTCTGTGATCCTGGACAGTGCCATGACAGTCCTGACAGCACACAACCAACCAGCTGCGGCCTCTTTCCTACAGGGTTTCTTCTGCAAGACTGAGGAAGACTTCAACAGCTGGTGCCAGCAAGTCAGAAAGGTTCATGTTTGCCCTTTGCAGGTTGGGAAGGCCAGCCCAGGCCTCCTTGCCTACTTGTCCCTTAAGTGGGTCTGTTCACTATCTCCCTGTAACCCCAAGGTTGTGGTGACCAGGCCCCATTTGAGTTTTCCCCTCCCCCTGTCCTCCTGGGAGTGCAATCCAGAGCTGAGAGATGGCTCTGTGGTCTTCTCCACAGCTGTCCATGCTTACGGGTGCCCTGCCCATGTTTGAGCTGGTGGAGCAGCAACCATCCCACCTGGCCTGCCCTGACGTCCTGAACCTGTCCTTGGGTGAGTGTGCTGCCTTGTTCAGGATCCCTATCCACACTGGGTCTCTGCCTCTGGGCATCCCTAGGTAAGCATGACACTGTGGCTGGTCCCCTCTTGGTTTCCATCACCTTGTGTGAGTGCGTCTCTTGGTCCTCCTACCTGAGCCTCCAATCAGGCACCTGTGGTGGCCACCTGTGGAGCACATCCAGCCCAACTGGGAGGCCCTCCCAGAAGGTCCTATGGTTGGGGCTAGGCTGCACATCAATGCAGATGTGTCATCATTTTGTGTGCCACCAGTCGTCCAGCCTGTCCTCATATCCACACCACTCAAGCCCTGCGCCTCCCATAGCAGAGCTCCTGCTGAACTGCTCACTCTTCTGTCTCTTCTAGATTCTTCTGATGTTGAGCGGCTGGAAAGGTTCTTTGACTCAGAAGATGAAGACTTTGAAATCTTGTCCCTTTGAGGACTCAGGGTCAGGGACATCTCTACTGGCTCTCGGGCGCCTGGCAGCCATGTTTCCTCCATTCCAGTCGTCCTGCCCTTTGAAGGTACAGCCAGGCCTCGCCAGAGCATCCACACGGCACGGCCAGGGCCTTGGCACTAGGAGTCAGGCTGCTCATCCAGGGCCTCAGGGGCCAGTTCCACTCCTGGGTGGAGGCCAAGCAAAGTCATTATGCTTCTGGAAGCTTCTTCCACCCAACACTGCCAGCCCTGCATTCCTGCACTGGCTTTCTTCCGCTTCGTCCTGGACCTGGAGGGTCGGTCTGGCCAATTTGGAATTAAATCCCATTTGAAGTTAACTTCACACACAGATTTGTGTTGGGCATGTCCCAAGCCAGCATGCTGGACCTGCAGGTGGGCATGGGCAGCTGGATGCTGCTTCAGGATGCCCCTGAGGGTTGGGACTACCTCAGTGAGGTGTCAACAGCAATTGAGGCAAGGGGGTGGGTGTGTGGTCAACAGTGACCAACGTCCACCTGGGACCAAACCAGGAGGATGCTGCCTCTACTAGCCTCCAGGACCAAGGCCAGGGGTTCCCCTTGATGATGCAGGGCCAGCTGGGGAGGGGACTACATTCCAGGCCAGGAGAAAGCCACCCTTGTTCCTTGTCCTCTCGGGTCCCTACAGGTACAGGTGGCCATTTTAGTGTCAGGAGGTCAAACAGCCCTCCCCCCCCCCAAGTGTTCCAGATGAACAGGCACATGGCAGCAGCCCCCCTCCAACACCCTATGCCTCCCTCTCGCTGACCCCACATAATGCGGCCTTTATCTGGCTCCGCCGCAGTGGACCTCTTCTGCCTGCCTGTACCCTGTGGCTCTCCCCAAATGTGTGCTCTTGAACTGATGTGGAGGGCGGCCCTCCCCAGAAGAAAATCATGGCTGGTGGGATCTGCTGCTACTGCTTGAGGGGCCAGCCATAGGGGTGCTCTGTTGGTGGTTGCAGGTGGCAACCATGTCCACCCCTCCCACTGATCATTGACATCATGGCTGGAAGGATGGAGAGGTCTTCATCCCTTCACTGTCATGCTCTGAGAAGGGTCCATACCTGCAGGGGCAGACAGGAACTCTCACAGCAGGAGGGCCCAGTACAGCACAGCACCTGGACAGCCGGGGGAGCCTGACTGCAGGCCCTGGCCTGCAGTGCTGGAACTTTTTATGGACAGGGCTTACCGAGAACAATGTGGTTCATTCTTAGTAGTGTAGGTTGCAATTCTTAATGGCAAATAACAGTTTTGAGTAGAAAATCAATTGTGTCTTGTTCTTCTTCACATATAGTTGGGTATGATTTTAAAAATGAGACTGGATGTTTCCTAAGCTGGTGGTGGCAAGGGAAAGTTCTTGGAAGAGCAGTGGGCAGACACATGGAGCCGGGTATGGTACGGGGCCACTTGCTATGTGGTATATGTGAGGAGGGACGCATGGCTGGTGATAGGTCATGTGCTATGTGTAGAAGACATGACTGGGCCTTTGCACCCAGCACATGCCTTAGGAAGCCCTGGCTGCACTTGGGAGAGCCCCCCTGCAAGGTCCTCTTCACTGAAGCTTAGGTTTTAAAGCCACAGTGCTGTGGTATTTGTGAACCTGCATCAGTATAATTTTTTTTTCCTTTTTAAAAAAAATTTAATTTTAATGAACATTTACAGAGATTCTGGATTTCCATTCATTCTTTGTTGCACTTTTCTCCCTGCCCAACCCTCCCCCCCGTTTGCTCCTCTCTTTGAAAAGTAAAATTCTCTCTTTGGGATACAGTTCCCCTGTACCCCTCCCACCGGCCCGAGTACACTCCACTATGCAACTTTACTTCTGGACTCTTGTGATATAATATCATCTATCATATACCGCTTTTAAATTTTTCTCTCATCTGTTTCAATGCAGTATACATAATTTATTCAGTTTTTCTCAGTCTTACCCTAACCCTGATGTCAGTCCCATTCTACAACAGTGGCACCACAGTATTTGTCCCTCTGTGACTGGGATACTTCACTCAGCAATAATGTCCTCCAGGGTCAACCATTTTGAATAATATTGCATGAGTTCCTTGTTTTTCAATGCAGCATAGTATTCCATTGTGACTATACCACAGCTTCTCTATCCATTTGTTTGTTGATGGGCACTTGGGTTGTTTCCAACTCCTTGCTATTTTGAACAAAGCCCGATAAACATGGGTGTGCATATATCTGCTTGGATGTCGGTTATGGTCTCTTTAGGGTATATTCCCAGTAATGGAACTGCTGGGTCAAATGGTATCTCTATTTGTAACTTTTTGAGAAAGTGCCACACCATGTTCCATAGTGGTTACACCATCGTACACTTCCAGCAACAGTGAATAAGGTTTCTAGTTTCTCTACAACCTTGCCAGCATTTGTTGCTTGCTGTTGTTAAATTTTGCTATTCTGACTGGGGTGAGATGATACTTCATAGTTGTTTTGTGAATCAGTATAATTTTTGAGAATAGTTTACAAAAGCTTTAAAATGTCAGAGGCAGCTTCCACACATTTACTGAAGTAATAACATTGTAATTCAATGTATAAACACCTCACAATGTTTGTATGATTTAAAGAATGTTTAGGGTATTCACAAGCCTATCACTGAAGTTCCGGAGCAGCCAGTCTTGGGATGTGGACATTGGCTGGTGGGCTGCTGGCTTCAGGAGGTCGGGTCCTCAAGCTGCATGCGTAGCCATATGTCAACTCTTCCCCAGCCCTTCTTCCATCCGTCCTCCTACTAAGGCCTTGTCCCCACAATCTGGGTGGTCTTCGCTCTCCGTGATATAAGAGGGCTCACCAGGGTACCCTCCACCACCTCCTACCTGTGCCTCCTAGGTGAGGTGACCTTTGGGCCAGGGCGAGTGGATTGCCTTTAGTCTGTGGCCAGGTGCAGCAGGGCCATGTTTAGGTGTCTCAGTAGGGTATGGTCTCAGCTTATCAGAGGGGTGTGCTGCAGATAGGCTTCCAGCCTACACTCCTTGTCTTCCTCTGCTCATCTTCAGCCTGGATGATGTGACCACACCCCCCAGGAAGGCAGGGCCAGAAGCCCCTACACAGAAGTGCTTCCTGAGGGCCATTTTATACCCAAGGATAGTGCCCACACCTCACTCAAGACTGTCCCTCCTCTCAGGACAGCATCCTCTTTACTCAGGACTGTCCCCTCCCCTCAGGACGGTGTCCCCCCCAACCCTTGGTCAGGACAGCGTCTTCCCCTCAGAAGAGTGTCCCTCCCCTCAATTGGGAGCTGTGCTATCCCCGTGCTCAGGCAGGAACCTGAAGGTCAGGCTGAGTACGAGAACATGAGTTAACAGCATGGTGACAGGGTGCACAAAGCCCAGCCAGACTCACAGGACGAGAACAGGCTCTGGTCTTGCTTACCCAGGCTGGGGGTCTAGGGAATGCACCTGCCACAAAGGCCATCAGTCAGCTGAGCATTGCTGCCCATAGTTGGGCAGGGGAAGCAGCTCCCACCAGGTTACTGCTGAACATGGACACATGCATGACCTTTATTTGCATCCTTAGAAAATGGGCGGAGCACTGGGGGGCAGGGCTCACCCAAGTCCTTGTCCTGCTGACAGGCAGACACCCTGGTCCCATCGGCCACAGCTAGGCTCATGTGATGCTGTCAATATATGCAGGGGGCTCCCCTCCATAGGCGTCTATGTCCACAGCTGGCCTAGCGGCCTGTGCGCAGCAGCCTGGATGGCATCCTCAGACAAGGCCCAGATCTCCTTGTGCACATCCTCCACGCTCCTGGAAGCGTCCACTGTCTGATCCACCAGGCAGTGGAGATAGAGAACTAATTAGTGCTACAGGCCCACAGTCCCCCTTTGGGACCCCTCCCAAAGAATCCCCTCCCACCAAGACATCCAGCTTCCACCAGGGACTGCCCGGGCAGGGGAAACCCTGGAGGTGGAGTGCTGGTGGACTGGTCCTGGACCCTGCCAGTCAGTCCCACTCGGAGCCCAGGTCACAGGGGTGGCTGTTTGAGGAGACCAACTACAGAAAGACAAGGCAGCTTTGTGACTCAACCCACAACGGCCAAGCCAAGGATAGAAGAGGGTAAACGATGGACTGGGGCTGATCTGCAGGCCTGCAAGCAAGCCAGCAGCCTCTCAGGCACCACATTCACCCAAGTACTTATAGGATGGCGGTACCACAGGGTGTCCAAGAGCAGCTGGAGACTGCTGCCTGGGTGGGGCCGGGTGGCAAAGGAGGCCAGGCCCAATTGCAGCCTCACCTTCCAATCCAGGCTCGGGTCCTGCATCAGCTGCTGGAAGCAGTGCAGAGCGCGCTCCTGGAAGGCCGAGTCTTCATAACGCTCCTGCCCAAATCCCCCTCGCCGGGCAGCATCTGCCAGCTGTAGTTGCAGGAACAAAACCAGGTCGGGCCTGGGGAGGCCCACGTCTGGCTGCTTGCACCAGTCCAGGGAGAAGTCCTGTGAGGGAAACAGCAGTCAGAGATGGCATGAAAATGAGGGGGCCGGAGAAGAGGGGGTGGAGGGAGGGGAGTCATGGGAAGGCGGGGGAGGGTGGGATGGGGGAGGCTTGAAAGGCAGGATGGGCTAACTGCAGTTTGAGAGTCAAGAAGGGGTTAAGGCTGGCGTTTGTAGCAGTGTGGTTGGACTGTAAAGACAAGGTAAAACACTGATGCTCTCTCATGCCATATTTAAATGCATCCAGTAATACAGCAGCAGAAAGGCTCAAGAGGAGACAGATTTTAAAGGGCAGCTCCAGAACACAAAGCAAAGGGCTGTACTCAATTGTGTGAGGTGCTGTACCCAAAACCAAAAGGGGAAAACTTTCTCAAGCCTTCAACGGCAATACTGCAAGATTCTGTGGGGAGAATACTGACCCACAGCTGTTGCTGTTACCATACCCTTTGGGGCGCTGTCAGACAATGGACCACAGAGACTACCTATTCGAACCAAGTGCCTTTGTGACGGCAGCAACATTTCTCCCCATTTATTGGTCAGTACCTAGAAGTTGAACATGTCCCCTAACAACTGTATGGGCATTTGACCTGAACCCTGTCCTCTCCTGCACCATCCTCATCATCTGACGCACTTGAGCCCACTGCAGCAGTCACTGTGTCAACCCATCTCGCCAAGGGTCTTCCTCTCTTTTGCCAGCCTTCTGCCTTTCCAAGCATGTCGTTCTCCAAGGAGTAGTCTGTCCTAACAACATGCCGAAAGTATGTGAAATGAAGCTTTGTTATCTCTGTCTCCAAGGATCATTCTGGCTGCACTTTCTCCAAAATATATATGTTTGGTCTTTTGGCCATCTATGTATGGAATATTCAGTGCTCTTTTCCAACACCACAGCTCAAAGGCTTAAGTTCTTCTGTCATCTTTATTCATTATCTAACTCAGATACAAAGCAAATGACTGAAAAGATCATGGCCTGAATAAGGCACTTTAATGTTCAGCACTTTAGACAGGTCCCTGACTGCAAACTTTCCCTGTACAAAATGTCCCTAGGTCTTGAGTGCTGGTACCAAAGGTGTTGACTGAGGATCCAGGTAAAACGAAATCATTGACAGTTTCAATCTTTTCTCTATCATGATGTTGCCTACTGATCTGTGGTGAGAAATTGTTTTCTTGATGTTGGGATGTAGTTAATATTGAAAGCTGTAGTCTTAGATGATCTTCTGCAGCAAGCACTTCAAGTCTTCCTTTCAGTAAACAAAGTCATGTTACCTGTACAATGCAGGTTGCTGATCAGCCTTCTTCCAATCCTGATTTTATTCTTCAGAGTCCAGCTTCCCAAATGATCTGTGTTCACCATACAGACTGAATTGGTATGGAGAAAGGATACAGCCCTGACACACACTTTTCTTAATTTTAAACCATGCAGTGTGGTCTGTCTGATCTAATGTATAGGTTTTTCATGAGCATAATTAAATATTCTGGAATTCCCATTCTTCCCAATGCTACCCATAGTTTATTATTAGCTCTGGTGACCTAGTGGCAAGAAGCTGTGCTGCAATCTCAAAGGCACACATTTAAATCCACCAGCTGCTCCATGGAAGAAAGATGGGCAATCTCCTCCCATGTGATTAACTGCCTCTGAAAATCTGCCAGAGGGTCAGCTATAGGTTGGTTCCAACTCTAAAATACACAACACACAAATACCTTTAAATAGTCAAAAAACACAAATAGATATGATTCTCTACTTTCACCCAGGATCCAAGGATCCATCTGACAACAGCAATGATATTCCTAGTGCCAAGGCTTCTTCTAAACCCAAGTTGAACTTCTGACAGTTCTCTGTCAAGGCAGTGTTCTAGCCATTTTTTAAATCATCTTCAGTTTGTTTGCATGAGCTATTAATTATACTATTTAATAACTCCCACATTGGCAGAGTACCTTTCTTAGGAACGGGAACAAATATGGATCTCTTCCAGTCAAGTAACTGATCTTTTAGTAAAGTGACACTATGTATTCCTTCCATTGTCTTTTGATGTTTCCTGAGTCATTCAAGATTTTGCCCATGGCATCTCTCAGTGTTGTAACTTGAAGCTTGAATTTGTTTTTCAGTTCTTTCAGACTGAGAAATGGCAAGTAAGTTTTTACCTTTTTATTTTCCAACTCCAGCTCTGTGCACATTTCATTACAATCCCTGGCTTTGTCTTTTCTAACTGCCATTTGAAAGTTTCTGTTGCCATCTCTTGCCTTTGTTTTGGCTTCTCAATGCTCTAGTGCAATTTTCTGAATCTCTTCTGACATCCATTTTCATTTTTTCTTTATCCTCTTTGTAGTAACCTTCTGCTCTCTTTATGGATGATATTCTTGATGTCATCCCACAATTTGTCTGGTCTTTGACCATAGTTCAATGCCTCAAACCTATCCTTAAGACGATTTTTTAAAAAAAATTGTGTGCATGTGTGTGTACCGTCAAATCAGATCTGACTGGCACAGGAGGAGATTGTCCCTCCTTCTTCAGAGCATCTGGTGGATTCAAACCCTGTACCTCTGGGATTGCAGTGCAGCTTCTTGCCACTAGGCCACCAGAGCTCACCAAGATGATTTTTAAATTCACATGAGATAGACTCAAGGTCATATTTTGGTTCTTGTGGACTTTTCGCTTTCTTCAGCCTCAATTTGAGGAGAAACTGAGGATTTCTACCAAAATGTGCAGTCTGAAATTGATCAAACATGCAAGCAAGATGCATTATTAACTGGTGACTGAAATACAAAAGTTGCAAACAATGAAGGAATGGTAATCAGAAAATATGGATTTGGTGACAGAAAAGAGGCTGGAGACTGAATGAATATTATTTATCTATCTATTTATTTATTTATTAAAATTTTTGTGTGAGTGTACTGTCAAATCGGATCTGACTGGTACAGAAGAAGATTGTCCCTCCTTCCCTGGCAGAGCATCTGGTGGATTTGAACCATGTGCCTCTGGGACTGTAGTTGCAGCTTCTTGCCACTAGGCCACCAGAGCTCCCCTGAATATTATATTTTTTATGTTCAATAATTTATTCATCACAAATACCTTCCCCCCACCCCAAATACCTTTTTTAAAAACCACAAAAGGTAACTTCACACATGGACCTCATCTGATGGCCTGTGTATGAGTCAGATTCATGCCACCTGTGGAAAGATGACTGGAGCGGTTAGACAGCTGCAGTCAGAACTGGGCCAGGTGCTAACTACGAAACAGGACATCATTGACTCACTCAGGTGCAGGTTCAATCTGAGGCCTTACTACTAGGTCACCAAAACTCCCTGCTGAATGGTGGATGAAACATACAAGATGGAAAGAATGCACAGAGTCACTTTACCAAAAAGATTCTGGTGACAATGAAACATTTCAGGAAGTTGCATATAATCAAGATTCAATGGTAATGAAGGAAGACATTCAAACTGCACTGAAGGCATTGGCTAAAAATAAGGCCTCAGGAATTAGTGGAATACCAATTGACACATCTCAACAAAGAGATGCAGCCCTGGACATGTTCACTCTCCCATGTCAAGAAATCTGGAAGGCCAAATGACAGGAAGAGATCCATATTTGTTCTGAATCCCCTCAATAAAGGAAATTCCCCCCAAAAGGAGATCCAACAGAATGGGGAAATTATAAAAAATTATCAGTATCACATACAAGTGAAATTATGCTGAAGATTATTAAAAAACTGGAACAGTATATTGACAGAGAACTGCCAAAAATATGCAAGAGAATATAAGAAAGATGGTTGTGTTTTACTAGTTATGCAAAGGCATTTTACTGTGTAAATCCTAACAAATTATAGGTAACACTGAAAACAATGGGAATCTCAGAACACTTAATTCAGCTCATGTAAAATCTCTACATACACCAAGTAACAGTTGTCCAAACAGAACAAGGAAACATTGTATGGTTTAAAGTCAAGAAAGATGTACATCAGGGTTGTACCCTTTCTCCATACCTATTCAATCTGTATGCTGAGCATATCGTTCAAGAAGCTGGACTACAAGACAAAGAATGTGGCATCAGTGTTGGAGAAAGACTCATCAACAACCTGCCTTATGGAGATGACACAGCCTTGCTTGATGAAAGTGATGAAGACCCAAAATACATACTGCGGAAGATTACAGTCTTCAATATGGATAGCATCTCAACATCCAGACAAAAATCTTTACTGGATGGATTTCCTTTTACTTGAGAAATCTGCTATCAAGAACTTCTCTTAAGTGCTAAAGAGTAATGTCTGTTTAAAGACGAAGGTATGCCTGATCCAGACCATGGTCTTTTCAATCACTTGCTATGCATCCAAAAGCTGGACCACAGAGGACTAACGAGGGCCCGGCTCCCAGTTGGCAACAAAGGAGGACACTCAAGTCCTCCACGGCGTAGGTCTGTTTTCTCTTGTACACATTAGCCTCTTATTCGGTCCTACAAGCCTTCTCAGGTCCACTCTTTTCCCACTATTCCTTAGTTGTTCGAATTAATGGAAAACCTTGTAAGTAGTTCTTTACTCTCCTTCTCCCTTGCACATGGACTTCCTGGCTGTAAAACAATGGAAAGTGGAAGTTGGTCCAGGACTTGAAAGCAATGAATGACATAGTTGTGCCTCTGCATCCTGTGGTTCCTAACCCTTATGCTATAATGGGCAAAAAGCCAGCCAATAAGCCTTTTATTTTAAGAACTATCTTCCTTGGTTTCTGCCACTGTTAGAACCTATAGTTGGAATATTGTTGCTTTTAATTTTTGGCCTGTGTATTTTTTTTGCCTACTATAATGAAATGTGCAGAGAGCTGGAGTCAGAAAATCGAAAGGGCTGAACTCGCTCAGCGTTGCATAAGCTGAAGGAGCTGAAAAACAAATTCAAGCCACGGGTGGCAATACTTAAGGATACTTTGGGCAGAATATTAAATGATCCAGGAAGTATCAAGA